TTATTTAAAATATATAAAAAAATTCCAAATTTGTTTTCAATACTATTTAATATTTAATTAAATATGCGTAATTTTTTTAAAAATATTTCTACATTATACAAGTATACTTTATTTATCATACACTACAATAATTTTTTTTTTTTTAATATAACATAAAAGAAAGTAATATTCGATTGAAACTTGTGTCTTACTTTTTTTAAACTTTTATCTTTTCGTGATCTCGCTTGATGAAAAATCTCGAGAAAAATTTAAGTATATCATATATTTCGAAGAAAAAAAAAAAAGAAGTAAATAAGTAAGTAAGTAAGTAAGTAAGTAAGTAAGTACATACGTAAGGCTTTTCATATAAAGTAAAAACGTTCTCTAGTATATAGAAAACACGAGCTTTCTTATCTTTTATATCTTTCTCTTTCCATCTCTTTTTTTTTATTTCCTCTTTTCTTTCTCTTTTTCTATTTTATTTTTTTTTTTAGTTTTATTCGAATCGTTTTTATCACGCAAAAAGCACCTCAACGTTTTAAGCGGGATTGCAAGACGAAAAGGAGGAGAATAGATTTTCAACTTGTCCGACAATACACTTTTTCAGTTTTATCATGCTCTTACCATTATTCGAAAAGATTTATTCTTCCTTCACATTTTTTTGTTTTATTATTATTATTATTATTATTATTATTGTTAACTTCCTGTAGTTACGTAGATAAGATTGATTATTTTTTAAAAATCAATATAAGAAAGTTTTAGTAAAAAATTGTTTAATATAAATGTGAACACATCACGTGTCAGACTCATGGTAGAAAGAAAGAAAAAAAAAATGGAGAAAATGAAGTAAACGTGATGCATCATTACGAGTTAGACTCGTTTGTAAGATAAATTGTTTTAACTCGTTTTGTTTTCAAGTAATCCGAGTAATTCTCATAGTATATGCAGTATTCGAGACACGCAACAGCTTTGCGTGCTTTTCGATGATAAAGGATAAAAGATAGTAGGAAAAATAAAATGATAAGAGTATGAGATAAAAGAAAGATGATAGTTAGGTGGGTTAGATAAAAACTTTTTGGGATAGAGAGAGTAGGAGGAATTAAATAAATTATTATTCAATAAATTATATTATATTAAATAGATGAAAAAATTCTATTAATAATAATTTAATATATGAAAATGATCAAAATTATTATTGTTCAAATAATCGTGTGGAAAATTAATTTGGTTAATTATTTGATTTATTTGATTTGTTTTATTTTGCGATTGTATGCGTGTTTGTAGATAATAATTCGATTGTGATTTTTTCTTTTTTAAATGAATGGTGTAAATAATTTGATTTTATTATTGGTATTGTTACACTTACCTTATTGATACGAGTATCATGGCGAATATCAGGTACTTCCCAAGCAGTGGCACGACCAACGATGTTGGTGGAATAATCTCAACGACCAGGAGGAAGAATACGTGAAGACTGATGAGGATTGATATGGAAAGGGTCACCTGAAACGTGACAAATTCTTCACTTTAACTTTTCTTCTTCTTATTCTTATTCTTATTCTTATATATAATATAACAGATCGTTTTTATATTCACAATATAACACAGGTAATTTTATATGGTAAGTTGTTCAACCTATAAGAAGAAAATATATTATATATAA